GCATTCATGTTCACTGCTTATATAATACAGTGCAAAATTGGGTAACTCAAAAAGTGTTTCTTTTTTTGGGGGAACTAAAAAAGTGTTATAATATAATAATTCAATTTTAAACAGATGAAATGATGAAAGCACGTCGTGCTTTTTTGTGTTTTCCTCTTTTAAAAATTGGGTAACTAAAAAAGTGTTTTTTATTCAAAGAAAATATAATGGTTTGATCACTTCAGAAAATAGTTAAGTAATGATAAATTGGTTTAATGTTTTTCTTTATCGCTTTAGCCATCAAACAATAATTATAATAATCACAAAAAACAATAATAGTTCAATGTCTAAATTAATGAAATCGTGATAGCACGTTGTGCTTTTCTGTACTTTCCACTTTTGAAAACCTGGTTACTAAAAAATATAATGGTTGTAATCACTAACAGAAAATAGTTAAGTGGCTAGATTGATAAAATTGTTTAATCTCTACCAAACTGTTATTCTTTATCTATTTAGCCAACAAAGTATTATCATAATAATCATAAAAAAACAATAGTTCAACGTTGAAATTGATGAAATGGTGAAAGTATGATGTGCTTTTCTATATTTCCCACTTTTGAAAATCTGGTAACTAAAAAAATTGTTTTTTTTGTTAAACGAAAAAAATGTAATGGTTTTAATCACAATCTAGAATACAAGGTAAGTGACTAAATTGATAAAAATGGTGAAAATACACGTGTTTTTTTTTGCCCTACAATATAAACACAAACACACAAGTCAATTTCCAAAAACGAATATCTGACTTTGGATATTGTGTTTGTGTTTGTATCACAAACATTTTGTATATCTAAAACATGAGATTTCATATTATATTAATATTTTTTTTCAGGTTTTTGGCAATGATAGTTTATTCTTTGGTGATGCAAGATATACCCAAGAACTTATATCATTATCTACTCTTATTCTTCATAACATGGTTGATATTATTCCACAAGAATCTTCACAGGTCATCAACTCAAAACTATGTTGCTATTATTTGAACATTTCGCGTGTTATAACAAAAATGCTTAAAATTTGATATATTTTTTTTTTCATCAGGCTACACGAGGAAACTTGGCACTTGAAGCTTGCAACTGTATTGCCATGTCTTTCAATGTAAGTTTGGTGTCATGTTCTATAAAACAAGGATTAAATTTAAGAAATAACAACCTACTTTCATTTCTTGTCATTACAGCATTCTACTCTGAAAAATGTTATCAAAGTAGAGTATGTTGATAAGAAAACAATTAAAAGTACAATGCCAGTGCCTTAATAAGAACAAGAAAAATTGTAATAGAAAGAAATGAAAGTATGTTGCTATTTTGGTCAGGTGAATCAGGAGATATCTTCTGTATGCTCTAAGTTGGTGGAGATCGCCAGATCATGTCTTGGGCCTGCTGATAAATATTTGCAATCGACTATCAATTTTGTGCATAAACAGTCCCTGGTGTCTGTTGGGGGAAAATGATTCTCAATTTCTATTTACATACTTTCAAAATATATATATATATATATATATGTTTATAATAAGAACTAAGTTTTTTGTTGTATGTAATTGGGTTTCTTTTATTTTTATTTTTATATCTATTAAATTTCAACATCCATTTTGAAAAATTTGTGGTTTAACTATTGCTATTCATTTATTTCCAGTTGAACTATAACACTTTTAGACTTTTTTTTTGGTGATAACGTGGTATTTTTGTGTATATTTATAGAAAGGCTTTAAAAGGAATGCATTACTTAGAGTTTTATTAGAAAGATTTTAAAATGAATGGATGACGAAATCTAAAACACGAGAAAAAAAAAACAAAAGGATTTTATGAACATGTTTGTAACCGGAGATGATAAAGTGAATGGATAAGGGTGCACAAACTCGTGGTACCGCCGGTGCCATCATTCCACCAACATGTGGTACCACAAAGACGATGGTTGAGCAAATTCTTGGAGGCGCTCCTCCCACTTATACAATATGCATCATAACTTGTACCAAAGAGATGGATTTGTATGTATTGTAGGTTGAGAGGGTTGGAAGTGAGAGGAGAGAATCGTTAATGTGGCATGTGACTTGGAAGGGCAGAAGGGATGAACTCCTTCCACCCTAAGATAGGGCTGAAATTTTGTTGTTTTTAAAGGGTAAAAATAAATAGAAACACAATCTATTATGTATCTATATATGGAAACTATCGATTTTGTTGTGACAATTGAATGAGACATATCACTTGACATGAGTGATTAGGTTGGTCATATCATCATTTTGACATATTATAACATATCAATGTGTTTTAGCTTTTGATACTTCGGAGTATTTGGTATTCCCATTTTTCATCTTTCACATTACTAACATCCTCTCTTCCTCTTTATACCTTTTCATACTTTGAAGAATTTGGTATTCCCATTTCTCATTTTCACATTACTAACATCCTCTCTTCCACTTTATGCTCAATTATTTTCCTAACTTGGTCAATTGTAGCCAGATGTACAAGTACTAAAGTAATAGTGTACACCTTATAATGCATGAGATAAATGAGGGATATCATCATCTTGTGGATACCCGTACTGAGGAACTTCATCATTTGCGGTGCCTTAATGCATGCGGAGGTATGAGGAATTTCATCATTTGTGGTACCTTAATGCATACGGAGGTATTTTGGTAAAAGATGACATAAAAATGGTCATGTCTCGATGAGTACTATGAGCATACCGTCCACCTTTATAAGAGGTTAAGAAAATATACGGACCATTCACGTCACCACTCATAATTGTCAAAACACTTAAATGAAACCAATTAATAGTTTTTTGTTGAAAAATTAAATAAAATCGACATGTAAAAATTAATGTCATTTTATGAACAAGAGAATAAATTATGAGTTTTTTTTTTTTTTTTTTTTTTTTTAAATATAATTGTATATTATGTTATGTTTTTTTTATTCTGTAATATTTTAAACATGTCAAAATGGCCGATAATTTTCCTTTTTAACATTGTTAAATTTCATAAATTTACATAATAACGTCTTATTTGACCTATTTTATTTATTTTATTATTTTTCTCTTTGTATATACATATTACAAAAGTTGTTTAACCTATGGTGTAATTATTAGAAAATAAAATCTATGATAAAACAATAAACATTCTTTAGAAAACAAAAGTTGTTTCTCTTTTAGTGTTTGACGAGATAACACAAGTATCTTATCATAACTCTTATATAGTAGCTTTTCGATAAACTATTTAAATGACTTATTAATATCCATGACACTTATTTGGATGTTGTTATCGTATTTGAATTTTGTAGTGTTTCAACAACACAAATATGATGAGCAAATATTTGAGAATATTTTAACATTTTGTTTGGTTTTATTATAGAAACGATAGGCTAAAAAGAATTGGACTCTGTGGTTACAAAATATAATTCTGGCTTAATTTGTATTTCTTTGCTATTATCTTCTAGCTAGCTCAGTTTTAACATTAAGTATGTTGTTCCAAAAAAATAAATTAATCTATTGATAAACTAGATACATGATTATATTATAAATAAAAATCAATTTTATTTATATAATCTCTATAATTAAAAAAAGAATTATAATACATGTACATTTTTTTTGTTATATTCCAAAAATAGTTAAAATATTCTTATTTATATTGTTTTTTAAATATATCATGGGCTTTGTATTTAATTTTTTGAAAACAAGATCTTTTATAAATATTAAAAAATATATAATATATATTATAAACTGTATTAAATATGTATTTGCATAATTTATTTATTGATATATTTTTATGTGATCAAAATTTAATTTTTAAAATGATATTTTTTTCTAATTTATCCATTCAGTTTCATTTAGTTATTTTATATACATACAAATGACATGTTTGAATTATTTATTTTAATATTTTAATTTTTTTAAAAACAAGATTTTGAACTGACCTTTTCTAATTATTAGAAAAGTATATATATATATATATATATATATATATATATATATATATATATATATATATATATGATTTATTTATTGATATATTTTGTTCGGTCAAAATTTATTCTTTTAATATTTCCATTTAATTTTATTTAGTTATTTTATGTACTTATAAATAACATGTTTGAGCTATTTATTTTAATAATTTAAAAGAGCCAAACATGATAATAAAAATAAAAAGTAAAGGGATTTTTCTATTGTCTTGTTTATTCAATGATTTTGCTTGTAATTTCATCTCATCAACCAAACAAACATTTAGGGTGTGTTCAAGCTCAACATTGAACTTTCAAGATTCTTTTTAACCTTTAAATAAAAATCCAAATTAAAGAAAAAACTATGTTTAAAAGTATCAATTTAAAAATTATTTTAACAAAAATCTCATCATCCAAAAACTAACTCAAGTAATTTTAGTTTTTGGAAGCTTTTAACTTTAGTTTTATATTTTTAAAAGCTTCAAACTAGTTTGTTGAATACTTCTATACAAATAAAATTTCAACTTCCAGCTTTTAACTAAAGTTGTCAAATATTCATTTAGTTAGTTTTTCTTTTATTTTTTAAAGTTAAATACATCCGTTTGAATCGATATTAAAAAATTAACCAAAAACATAAGAGCTACTTCTATACATTTGCATACTACACCATGTTAATTGTTTTGTATTGCATGTATTTACTTTCTATGATGGTGATTACACCATGTGAATATGTTCTCTTGAAAGTCTCTCCCAAGATAAACCAACCAATTGTTCAAAGCCAACAAATTCAGTGACATCCCAAAACTCAATAACACCTCTACCAGGCCCTCTTATGAGAGTCAACAACAACCTGTTGATAGTCTTGTTAGGAATACTTGTTTCGAGAGGTTGGGGCAGATTAAAACCTACGCGACATAGAAGCAATATGCGTTTGAAGATGAGTATGTTACTCAATAGTGGCATCAAACTATATGATAAAATGATTTTAAAATCAAATGATTTTTAACTAGAGAAATTTATAAAATATATGACAAGATGTCTAAGACAAAGTGGAGTGGTATAGAGCACACCCAACTCCAACTCACCCCACCAAGAAATGGGGGAATAAGAAGAGAGGGAGAAGAGAAAAATGTCATAAAGAATGGGGAGAAGAAAGAAGGGAAGAATAGAGGTAAAAGAAAGAGACTCGGTTTTCCATTGCCGAGTTGCCCTTCCGAACCCGACTTCCCTTCATGCAACATAAGAAAACAATAACCTAAATATAATGAATAATAATAACATTACTTTATCAAAACAATAACCTAAATGTAATGAATAATAATAATATTACTTTATCGCATCCTCGTAAAGGAACAACCGACGAAAATAATAATCAAAGCGTTCATCCTATCGCCCATACCCACCTCAAGTCGGCCGGATTCTCTCTCCTAGGGTTTCTTAAACTCCCTACATTTACAAATTAATCGAGTTCCTCAGGGTATTCAATCCAGCAAATTGATTGCAGAAGGAATGGATATTGAAATTGTTGGGCGCCATGCGCTCCTCTTCGACGATGATACCACGGCAGCCTTCGTCAACTCCCAAGACGCACTTGTTGACTGGAATTCTCTACTAATCGATCGTTACGACGTTCGCCACCTCCTTTTCAGCCCTCCGCCATCTCGGAGGCGGCGTAATCCTCAAACCTCGCATTCAACTTCCGCTGACGTGGAAATCGATTATGAACGGTACCTGGATCTCCCCTCACCTTCCGAGGAAGAAGGTAATGACACTTGCTCATTACACAAACAGTTGCATTTCACGTTTATAAGTTCCTTGACTTAATTGATTGTATCTGTTCGGATGAAGTAATATTCTACTAGATTGAACTGCCGATTGTCGAAGGATGATTATCACAACATGTTTTGTTGCAAGTTGATATTTGTGAACTCGTGCAATGCCTAAATAAGTTGATAGAACAGCTTGTTAGTTATCAGGTTTTAGTTTCGAGGAATTAGTCATATCAGATGATATCAAAACTTAAAAATTCTTTGAAAGGGTGAAACTTCAATGCATCCAGAAAAGATCTATGACCTTAATGTGATATTCAGTTTTTTGTCGTGCCATTATATAACTGTTGTAGAGGTAAACTGTTTCCATGCTCACATCTTTCTAAAGTATGGCTACTATACATTTCTTACACTTCTGTTATACTGGTATTCTTAATTCTCATCCAACTGTTCCATTGTATTCAGAAGCAGATCCAAAACCGGAACCTGTGGGTGGGTTTAATGCTGTTCCTTTTTCTTATGGCAACAATGAGGAATCTAATGATCAAAAGAATGCTGAAGCTGAATCAGAAGTCCCTGCATTTCATCCCCCTTTCCCTGTTCCTGAAAGCCTGGTTCAGAATTTGGTAAGCTCAAATGCATCAGCTTTCCCTGAACTTGAATACATTGAAGCTATTGTTTATTATTAACTGCTATTTAGATGGATATGACCAAAAGGACAATTCCCTAAGGTACATATTTTATTTAAAAGCTTACCATGTCTAAGTTTACAGATGCTCGGAGCAGGGATCGAGTTATGCCCTAAGGTTGCCATTCACAGGCACCATGTTCTCTTTTGATATCATGTGCAAGGGTCCGTGCAGGTGGGGTTAGGTTAGGATTATAAAATGTTTTATCACCATAAAAATCATCACACAACTTGAAAATGGAAGCCACACATCCTCAGTTATTTATATTGTTATTGTGATTTACTGATTTTTGATTTTCCATACTTTTGTCAGGCTTATTATGCTTTATTTGGCATCTCCTGTTGTATCTTCTTATGAAAACTTACCAATTCCATTACTAAAATGAACCCTTCCTTGTTTTCTATTCGTTTTGTGTTTTTATAGCCTCCTACAGAAAAAGCACATCAGATTATTTCAAGGACTGCTCTTTTTGTCAGCAAAAATGGAGGTCAATCAGAGATTGTTCTTAGAGTCAAACAAGGAGACAACCCCACTTTTGGGTTCTTAATGCCTGATCATCACCTACACCCTTACTTCAGGTTTCTAGTCAACCACAAAGATCTTCTTCAGTCAAACGAAGAGAAAGCATCCAATACAGAGAACCCCACAGGAGCTTTGTCTTTACTTGGTTCTGTATATGGCACTGGTGAAGATGATGATAATGGAACAGAGCATCCATCATCACCATCTGGAAAAGACGATGTTGCCAGCTGGAAAACTAAAACAACCATATTGCCAGCTGGCAAAGACGAGCCTGTTTCAAAGCAATCACTAGATGCTCCTATTTTAAAAAAGAATTCTTTTCCAAATGTAATGAAGGCTGGAAAAACTAGCAGCATGAGAAAAGGTGAATCATCAACATCAAGTTCAGTCTCTGGTATTCGGGCTTCTTCTCTTCCTCCAATTCCCAAAACTGAGCTCATGGTTATGGATCCTCCATCTGACATGAAAAAATTGGTTGATAAAATAGTAGAGTTCATCATCAAGAACGGGAGGCAGTTTGAAGGAGTTCTTATAGAACAAGATCGTGGTCATGGCAGATTCCCTTTTCTAATTCCAAATAACATATTCCATCCATACTATCTAAAAGTTCTTCACACAGCTCATGAGGTTCTTTCTTCTTTCTTCGTCTATTTACATTATTTAAGTCAATAATCTGTTCTCATATTTATTTATTTTTTCATCTTGTAGTCGAAGTCAACCGTTGGGAGTTTCCACAATGAGAAAGGCAATTCTTCCAACAAGAAAATGTTAAACTCAAGGGATACAAAAGCTTCTTTAATGGAATCTGATGATATACCTCTTGATTCTGATAGAAAAGAGAAATTCAAAATGGTAATGAATAAGTCTAAAAAAGAAGCATCAGATCCTCCATCTAAACCCACACAAGAACAAAGTGTCCAGGTGGATGCTGCTCAAGCTGCAGCTATTCTTCAAGCTGCTACACGTGGCATCAAACATCCAAATTTAGGGATCTTGAATGGAAAATTTGGTGGACAACAACAACAATCATCTTCTAATGTAAATGAAACTGATTCCAATGAGCAAAAGTTAAAAGCTGAGAGACTAAAACGGGCTAAAATGTTTGTGGCAATGCTGAAAAGTGGGACCAACCCATCAAAAGCCGAACCCACACGTGGCTTATCAGCTGAGCCACAAGTATCAATCGACACATCAGACAAAAAAATAAAATCAGAAAAGGAGCATTTGGATGATGAAAAACGTTCAAAGAGGAAATACAGAGATAGATCTAGCATACATAATGATATCGATGATGATGAGGGTGAAGAAAAAAGGTCACATAGACACCATAAGAAGAAGAAGCATAGATCTCATGAGAGTGAAGAAAGACATCGATCTCATCATAGTACTTCTCATAAACATGATGACGTGGACAAAAACAATAATAAAAAAGATCACAAAAGGAAAAAGAAGCATCGATCCTCTAGTAGTTCAGATGGCGAAGATGAACATGAATATGAACATTCTAGAAGGAAACATCGGTCCCACAAGTCTTCTTCTCATAAACATAGGAAAAGTCGTTCTCGTTCTTCTAGGCATAAACATAAGCATACTCATGATGATGGAAAGGCTTCAAATTCAGAAGAAGGGGAGATGAGTTCAAAAAGGGGACATGTGAGTAGAGAAGCTTCTGTTGATGTGTCAAGTTCTTCATATCAAGAACAAAAGCCACAGCCCTCTCAGATAACTGAGGTTCCTGATGATCTTAGAGCCAAAATCAGAGCAATGTTGATGTCTACAATGTAAGTTATTATTTTTTTTTTGTTTCGTTTAATTTACATTTTTATGTATTAGGGAGTTGCATATATGCATACAATGATATACTAAAAGAGATCACATGTTAAGCTTTTGGGTCTAGGGTTAAGAATTGTTTAGTGTAGATTAACAAATGACTATTGCTCTAAATTGTTATAATAAAAACACATTATGAATGAGCTACTATTGGGTCAACTTTCATAGTTGTTATCCTATTATTTTCTCTCTCTTGGGTCAACAAAAGAAGCTAGAAATTGCATGCTTTTCTCCTTTGGGGTCAACAAAAACGGCTACAAGTCTTGTATAGTTGGAATCAAGTAAAATAAAACCCCAAGAAATGGGAGTCAAAAGCTAATTTCACATAGCCCTTTTCACTTTCCTTGTGAATCTACAAGCTCTCTATATAGAGCTTTTTCATAATTCTAATAATGTTTTATTCTTTTGTCTTATCAATTACAAATAAATAACTTTTTTTCTGAAACCAACAAATAAGCTTTTGTGAAAAAGGTCTACTATAGTGGAAACATCTCAGATGTACATACAGACGCTTGAGATGTTACAATATTTCACTCATCTGAATCCTTGTTCATACTTATCGTTATCTTGTAATTATTATTTTTTTTATAAATAATGGTAGTCCTTTTGTCAACTAGAACCCTATCCTATATCGAATTAAGGTAGAAAACGACAATGATATGAAAAAATGGCAATCTAGTGATGGCGAAAGTGAAAGTTAAGTAAGCGTCATAACAAAGGGAAGAAATAATAGTACCCTTGTATTAATGGCGTTGAATCGGTCTCCATATTTTTTACTTGACCCACTTCCAAAAACTAAAGGAAAAGAAGTTTCACACATAGTCAATGACTTGATTTCTCTTCGAAAGCTCCATTTAAACTACTCATGTTGACACGAGTTACAATTTCTTTGTCGCAAGAATTCTTGATATGCTTGTCTTTTGAACCCCACATTCCCAAATGTGGATTATATTAGTTTATGTCCACATAAGACGATAGAAATTCAACTCTTTGGATTGGCATATTTGATACACTTATGTGCGTGTAAGAATCGTGTTAGCAGAATCTTAGTCAAGAGTCAACTCTCTTTCTTATTTTAAATTAATCTTTTGCCCTTTCAAACTTTTAATTAGGATTGTTTTGTTAGAATATACAATTATTATTAAAAAAAGTTAAGGGGTGTCAAAATGGGTATGTTGGGTAACCGTTCGGGCCGGGTCGGGATGACTTGTAACGCCTTTTTGTCAATTTCTTTTGAATTTTGTAAATAGATAACTTGTTAAATATATTTATGTTGTGCTGAATGCTGATACAGATATTAATAATAACATTTATTTATAAAGCTACGCACTTTTAAGTTTGTTTGGGTTTACGTGTTTTACCCGTTGATGAAATGAAGCAGAAGTCGATTTATTTGCCTATAAATAACCCTAAATTGTCACCTCTAACATATTTACCTCTAACATATTTAAGTCTTAGCCTATTTGGTTATATTTATATCTATCTATAAAAAGATAAAATTACTTGCACCACATTCATTTGAAACTTGCATAAACTTTTAAATTTCTAATAAACCTTTGTGTCACGTAAATTGGTTAATTAATGTAAGATAAATACAAGGAAAACTATTGACTGGTAGGAGTACCAATACTACATACCACGGTGAGGTGAGATGTCACGACGGTAGTGCGGTGAACACCAAACCACGTGGTGAGAGGTAGTAAAGATGATCATTTTCTATCAAAGGGGAATGTAAGAAAAAAATGACATTACGATGACGGGCAAAAAATAAAGTAGTAAGAGGGTTTACCTACCAACCTTATATCTAAGTTTTAGTCTTTTATATATTTTTGAGAACAATAAGCGGTTTTAAAATTAACTATAATAATAATTTGCAATAATATAAAATTATAAATTACACTACATTACATTATCTTATAAATATTGATATTTTAAATAATGAACCAAAATACAAAAAGTAATCAAATAAATAATTTTTAAATTACTTAATCATAAGAAGTGTTAAAACTAATACTAAACCAAGTATTATATTGATTTTTGTAGTTTATTTATTTTTTATATCGTTCAAATTAAATAGTTACATCTTTACATATCAACATGGTGTAAAATTGTTATTTCATAATTAATGTCAATGAAATAATCATTTTCAACAATATTTAGCTATCAAATTTTAATTCCCACAACGCATGGACATTTGCTATTAGATAGATATTATAGTATAAGGATTAGAGTGTAAATATATTTAGTATATATTCTTATTGTATTACACGTTAATTGTAATCAATCACAGCTACAATTCTGTTTTGGTATCAGAGCCAAGATCGGCTCCTCTAGGATTACAACCCTAGCCGCCAAAAAAAAAAAAAAAAACCTCTGCGCTTTCTTCATCTTTTCTTCATCCTCATCTGATCAACCAACAGTCTGATCATCACCATGACAACCATTGCTGTCTTCTCCACAACTGAGAAAACATCACACAACTCCCACAAGTTTCCGTTTACTCTCTCCTCCACCAACTATGGTTTCTGGAAAATTATGATCCAACCGTTTCTTGTTACCAACAACCTCTTTGGTTATATTGATGGATCGATTCCTTGTCCTAACCCTACCATACCGCCGGCAGAAAAAGCAACCACCGTCGAGCCCCAACCAAACCCCTCGTATGCTGCCTGGTTAGCCAATGATGCCCATGTACGCATGCTCCTGCTGTCCACCATCTCCGAATCAGCCTACTCCCATGCACAAGGTACAACTGCAAAAGACCTTTGGCTGTCTCTACAACGAGCATATGCCCCTCAATCGTCTTCTAGAGAATTTACACTCAAAACTCAGCTTCTCAAACTGGAGATGAAACCTGATGAAACTGCCTCTGCCTATCTCTTACGTGCTCAGGAATACTCAGATGCCCTAGCCAACATTGGTGAACCGGTCAAGGAAAAAGATCTAGTCATGCTCGTTATCTCTGGTCTACGTGAGGAATACAACGGCCTCAAATCAACCATTCTTGCTCGACAAGCAACTACTTCCTTTCAAGAACTTCATGGTCTTCTTGCAGACCATGACTTTATGGTAAAAAAAAACCTTCCCACGGTTGCACCTATCCAAGCATTTGCCGCTACCTCATCAACCCGTTCCTTCCCTACCAGTGTTACTTCATCTCCTGACCAAATGCAAGCCCTTCAACAACTGGTTGCTCAACTCGGTTTTCAACTTCACCCAGCTCCAACCACACCTGCCACCCCCCAGGCCTTCTACACCAACCGACCTTCATCTTCTCGAGGTCGCGGGTCCAACAACCGTCGTGGCAGAGGCAACTCCAACTCCTCATCTGGTGGTACTAGAACTCAGTTTCCTTGGGCTTCCACTCAAAACACTATGTATGACACATGTAACCGATGTGGCATCGACCATATCCCCTCCCAATGCCCTAACCGTGACCCCACCACTATCCGCCAACGCCCACAACCTTCTGCTAACTTCGTAGAAAATCGTTCCCAAACTACCACTTGGCTGACTGACACAGGCTCCAGTAATCATGTCTCTCATGATCTCTCATCTATTGACAGTCATACGCCTTACTTCGGTGAAGATGCTCTTCATGTCGGCAATGGTACAGGTTTACCTATTCTTTCATATTGGTTCTACTCGTTTTCACTCTCCTTCAAAAACATTTTCCTTGTCCAATATTCTTCATGTTCCTGAAATTAAAAAGAATCTTCTTTCTGTTCAAAATTTTTGTCTAGATAATGATGTCTTCTTTGAATTTCACTCTTCTTTTTTTGCTGTGAAGGACAATACTACCAAAACTACCCTCCTTACGGGTCCAAGTAACAATGGGCTCTACTCCATTCGTCTTCCGTCTTTTCAGAGTCTTCCCACAGTTGCATTCACCACCACTAAAGCCCCTTATGACGTTTGGCATCAACGACTAGGCCATCCTCATCCGCAATTTTTAAAATTTATGTGTTCTAAGTATTGTCTTCCAGTTTCTAGAAAAACTTCAGTTTCATTTTGTAATTCATGTCATGTTGGAAAATCATCCAAACTTCATTTGTCCACTACTACTTTTACAAGTAATTTTTTTTTTAGATCTTATTGTGTGTGATGTTTGGGGTCCTGCACCTGTGACCTCGTCTGATGGTCACAACTATTTTTTGCTATGTGTCGATGATTTCTCTCGCTTCATGTGGATTTTTCCTCTTACACGAAAATCTGATGTGTTTGATGTGTTTAAACGATTTCTCACAACTATTGAACGACAGTTTTCCACAACACTTAAATCTGTTCAAACAGATTGGGGGGGGGGGGGGTGAATTTCCCAAATTAACTCAGTTCTTTAGCTCCCTTGGTATTGTTCATCGTCTCTCATGTCCTCATACAAGCGAACAAAATGGCTTGGTAGAGAGGCGTCACCGTCATGTTGTTGAGACCGGGCTGACGTTACTTGCTCAATCTGGCGTTCCAAATACCTTTTGGCATTTTGCCTTTGATACTGCGGTTTATCTCATCAACCGTATGCCGTCTCGAACTACCTCTCACATCTCCCCCTTTGAGCACCTCTTTAAGCGCCAACCTGACTACTCTTTCCTTAAAGTTTTTGGGAGTCAATGCCACCTTCGGGCTTATAATCCACATAAAATGGACTTTCGGTCTATACTGTGTGTCTTTCTTGGATACAGTTCCTCTCACCACGAGTATCGATGTCTTGATCCAACCTCTGATAAGTTATATATCTCTAGGCATGTTCGATTTCATGAGGGCTTCTTCCCATTCTTGGCGCCAAAACCCGTGCCACCTCCAATCCCCACCTCCAACCCATATGTTTCCATCTATCCATCTCCTATTCTTCCTGACACCTCACCACCAACACCTATACAAACATCTCCATCACCAGCCCATGACGTTGCAGCTGCCACGCCTACTTCTGTTGAACCAGCAACTGCCAGCATCCCACCTCCCCCCCCTTTTCGCACATACGAACGCCAACGTCGTAAACCACCTACTCTTGACCCAAACCCACCACCCACCCCACCTTCCATTGAGACCTATTCCACTCGCGTTCGCCCTTCTAACCTTCGCCAAAATCCGAAGAAGACAACTCGGTTTAACCCATCGGCATTTCATACCTCTCCTTCCCATGAACAGGAACCTACCACCTTCTCAGCTGCTGTTAAAAACCCTAATTGGCAAAAGGCAATGGCTGATGAGTATGTTGCACTAATCCGGAATGGCACATGGACACTTGTGCCTCACACACCTAA